ATCTTTGCCCATTCAAATTTCTAATTTTTCATGTCACGCACATACTAGTAACGCTAGCATGTCCAACGAATTGATTGTTAAAAATTTCAACGCATATAAGTACGAAGATTTTTAGAGTTGTTAAGATTTAGTGACACAAATTTAGAGCTATATTATATTATTATTGTAATTCATCTCTTAAGTCATCAATAAACATCGATAGGGTAGGAATTTCATTCTCAAGTTGATGATCCTAATTTTCAATACAAAGAGTACACGTAGTAAGCGCATGGGCTCCAATGTTTTTTCGGCATGTCGGCACTGTAATGCTAAGGAGCAAAGTAGTAATAATAATAAAAAGCACAAAAGAAACAAGAACAATAAAATAGAAAAAGCAAAAAAAGAACTAGGTTAATGGAGAGGAGCATGATGAAGTCTAATAGAGTACATAGAGAAGACATAAAAGTGAATGATAGATGCCAGCAGCTTATAGGCTATGTATGCACGTTGACGTGAGAGAAATGGATCTGGTTTTGTTGTCTTCGTGATTTTTATCCACACGATGAAAGGTAAAGGAGAGACATTATCATGTCCTGGTTTGGGGTACCCTTTTGTCTTGCATCAAGATTTCTATTCCATAAATTGGGATAAAGTTGAAAATTGAAAGGAGTCAGTCACTATTTCACAGAATGGATGTTTTTAAGCACTTTTTTTCTTCTTTTGGGAAAGGAAAATAATTCTTTTGACACTTAAATGGACCAAAAACGATAGATAAAAAGATATATATGATAAATGATATAATAAAAAAGTATAAATATTAATTAATTCAAAATTTAATTTTATTAAATATTTTTTTTCATTCAATTAGATACCTTCACAGTTTTAATTTTTAATCATTTTTTCCATTTTAGCTTATAAATTATTTTTATTAAATAAATACTGAAGGTGAAAGTAGGGTAATGTAACCTGAAATTTATCAAATTTATTTATTAATAAGCAATTTCACAATTTTTTTTATGTGAACTGGAATCTAAAATTAAGTCCCCGATGCGTTCTAAGTTACATGTAAACTTTCTTTTCTTGTCTCCTCTTTTTATAATTGCACTGCTAAATACTATGCTAGTCAATCATTACCTCGGATAAATGTTTGATTCTGTTTTAAAACTAAAGTTAAAAAAAAGAAAAAAGTGTACAAGACTATCTCATTTATTATTATTATTTTATATTAAAATTTTGCTATAGAATTTTAAATTGCTTATTTATGACCATGTAAAGGTTTATTTTGTTTCCTTATACAAGAATTTACGTCTATTGACTTATTTAGAAATCTTATAATAAAATATGATTTTAAATTGATTTTTAAGATATATCATTTTTTAAAAAAAGATTTAAGTCAAATCTTTATAAGAGTTTATATAAAATAAATGAGTTAATTCTTAAGTCTAAGAATTAAATCAAACTTTAAAAATAAGACTAATTTGATTATTTTTCTTCAAAAATCGTCTGATAATTAAGAGTGTGCATGAATTAAATTTGTATAAAATCAATCCAAATTTATTTTAAATCTAATTATATGAATTGGATATTAAATCTATTTTTTTTTTGAAAACTAGTTTTAAATCAATTTTAAAATTTAGATTTAATTTTAAATTAGTTTTAACTCTGATTTTAATTAAAATTAATTTTAAATCCAGTTTTATTTAAAACTGGTTTTAAATTCAATTTTAATCTAAACCAGTTTTATTTTTATACAATATCTAAATTTTATTAATGTAATCCAAATAATAAGAAAATTTTTACCTATTACACAAAAAATCATACTTGCTTGCAATCATCAAATCTTCAATGCCTTTAGATTTTGTAAGCTACACCATATCAATACTTCCATTTAATTAACATTACAAGCCTACAACTAGCTAGCATGCTGAGAGGCTTGTTTGTTGAATTTTTTAATTATTTTACATTTGTTCAATATTTCAAGGAGATAAACATCATCACTATTGTATACATACCATCAATGCAAAATTTGACAAAAGAAAAAACTGATGTAACTACCATATATCCATACAGTTGTTTTAAAACATTCACGGATCACTTTTATTTATCATTGCTCAATTAGACACAAAAAACAACAGCCAAAGATTAAATGGAAATTCAGCGATAAAGGCTTTCAGATCTCAGGTTCTCTGCAATTTCAGTTTTCCATCGGTCTTCATTTTCAAGCAGCTTCTCTTTGTCAGAATAATAAATCCGGTTTTCTAAAATTCAATCTGGTTTTATATATTAAAACCAATTTAGATTTATTCTTTTTTTTTACGGATTTAGTTTTTGATTTTTTTAAAAATCTAGATTTTTAAAACTGGTTAGCTTAGTTATGGATTTGGCTTTTATAATTTAGGTTTTTTGTGCACCCCTATTGATAATATACCAAAAACAAAAAGCAGAGTTTTTTTTTTTTTTCAATAGAGAGAGTCTTTTGATAGTTTAAAAGGGAGAAATAGTGGACCGAGTACAACAAATAAAAGGGGACTTCATTTTTGGAAAAAAAAAAAGTGGTACTGGACCATACAGTTTATTTGGTTCTAAATTGCGCAACGAGTCCAAAAACGCCTACTTCAGAATTGTGACAATTCCTGAGCAAAAAAAAAAAAAAAAACACTCTCCTAAAAATGGATCTCGCTTACGTTCGTTGGATGATCCTGTGTTTCCATTTTACCCAAAATAAAATTTTCTGTTTCCAATCATAATTATTAATTTAAAAAAAGTATATGGTATCATTTCAAATTCATGGATACATAACATAACTTAATATTACTTTTTATGGATGCAAATATCTCCTGTCTTTGGTAAGTTTTCTCCGCACTTAAATATTTCTTTCAATTGTAAAATCATTTTATCTTTATGATTTTTATAGCTTATTTATTTTACAATTACATATTTTAAAATTAGTTTTAAAACATTAATTATTAAAATGCAAAATATGCACTTTATAAAATATAGTGAGTAGAAACTTATAAGAAACATTTTTCAACTCTAACATGGTTAATTCTTAATCTTTAATTCAATATGCACCTACTCTCCTTCAACTTTTACAATATATTTTTCCACCATTTCTACAAGTAACTACGCTTTTTCAACTCTTTACCCTGTTTCTTTGTATGCGAGTATTTCCGTTTCTATCAACCCTACCCTATCTTTCATTCCAAATTATTTCATTATTTGCAGACATTTTGAATTTAAATTATATATTAAATAAATTCCTTATTTTTCAAAATTTTGATTCAAGTGTGTTTATCCGAAAACAGATGCTTGTGACTAATTCCAATATATGTTTGAAATTGAATATGAAATTTAGAAAGCAATTTCACTAAATAATGTAGAATAACACATAAGAATGTTAAAAAATATATATATAATAACAAATTGTTTTCTCAAAATCGAAATGTACATAATAAGTCAAAACAAATTCAAATTATGATAAAAAAATTGAGAACCCCAAAATAATTAAGAAAAGTGTGATATATATAAGTCAAAACATATATAACATTTTGAACAATTTGACGGGATTGCCAATTTCAGGGTAAAGAAATGGTGATAGTATGCAAATTGGCACGTAACTGTGCCAGCGGCTGTATAACAAAATAATGGCTAAAACAAATTCTAGGAAAGTTCCTTCCACGGTTGCATTGAACTTTCTATAACAATTCCAAAAATAAAGCTTCATGAACTAATCCACGTTTTCTTTTTTTCTCCCTCCTTTCTAATTAAATTTTGTCTTTCAATCGGTAGGATACCTCTCATATTTTTCAAATAATAATATGTAAATAAATTATTTTTATGCTAAAAAAAATTCTAAAGATGTGATGAAATGATGGAGATAAAAATATATTTACAAATAAATATATTTTTTTAACGCTACAATTAAATATACAATATTAATTCACAATAATCTATTAATTTTTCTAGTATAAGAAATTGCTCTGCTAAATGGTTTCGTATTTTTAATAAATGTTTGCAATTATAATGGTGTCATAAGTGTATTTGACGTGGACAAAAGTTAAACTGAAAACAGGATTTTTTTTTTCATACATGATATTTAAAAATAATGTCTATCAAAATATGGTATAAAAATATAAAATTAAAAAATTGCAACTAGTACATGTACAAAAATTCAGAGAAACAACTGAAAATCATCTTCGACAAAGTATTAAAATTTTTTAAAAAGTCAAAATTCGTCAAATGACAATTTTTAAAAAATAATTAAAATTTTTTAAAAATTAAAAATTATCAATAATAATTTTTTAAAAAATAATAAAAGAAAGTACTAAATCTCGCTATCAGCAAATTTTTGTTGATTTTTGAATTTTTTTACATTTTTATAATTTCTAAAAATATTATATTTTGGTATTTTTTTCATATTAAAAAAAAGCCACAAAAAGATAGCAAAATATTCAATAGAAAGTTTCTTATGCTAAAAAAATTATTAAGAAAATCAGAGAAACTCACGCAAAGATGAAAGTATAACAAGCGGATTTTATAGCTATATATGCTGTTAGATTAAGTTAAAAAAATTATACTAATGAATATTAGATTAACACTTAAGTAAGAAGAGTGTTGATTTTAACAAATATATTCACACACACTAGCAGTTTTATGGATCTGCACTCTTTAGAATCCAATCGATTTATCAGTGAAGAATGGATTTTAGTATATTGGTTTGGTAATTCCTTCGACTTATATAGAGTTCCTCTAAATGGAAAATAAAAATTTATAAATTGTTTTAATTTAAATTAAATGTGACTTAAGAAAAAATTGCTAGCCGCTGTAAAAACTGATTTGTAAACTAAGAGGGAGGGAGGAGGCAATTGTATATACGAATAGATATTGAAAGCAAAACATCGAATTCCCTGTTCATGAGGATAAACGGGTGTAGTACATGTATAATTGTGTTTCTCTTCTACCCAATTTCAAATGTGAAAAAGAGCAAGGTTAAACAATGGGAGAAAAATGACTTGTACTTGAAACAACAAAAAATAAGAATGAGATGTCCCTTCAAGTGCATCATTTCCTAACCCTATAGGCAACAATCATCGTGTGTGACCGCATGCAAGAGTAGTTCAAATGGAAGGGTGGTGGTTGTTTCTGAGTTCATTGTGTAAAGCCTCTTCAAGCCAAAACCAAGACTCCTCCATCAACTGTGGACTCAACCTGAACATCAAAACGCAGAACTCCATCTGAGTGAGAGCCCCATCACCATCAAGATCCCCTTCTCTCATCATGCTCACAAGTTCATCCTCCTTCAAATCTTGCAAACCCATTAGTGCAGAGTTGTTCCTCAAGCTCTCCAACGTGATCACTCCCTTGTCCTTGTCCATCAGCAACTGAAACCCATTACAAAGCTCTTTTATCAAACCTTCACCACCCAGTTTATCGGCGATCAGAGGTAACAAATCCTCAAATTCAACCCCTTTGCCAATCCCAGCCATCAATAAGAAGAAAAATAGTGTCAATTGTAGAAAATGAGATTTTTGTAGGAGGGTAGTGATTAGTGAATGGTCATGTTGAAGTGTTTATATAATAGATGTAGGTGTATATATGGGGGGGCGGGGGGTTCAAGGAAACTGATGGAAGAAACTTGATGAACCCTCATCGGATGACAGCAAAGGAACAGAAAATTATGAGCTAAATTGCTTTGATTCTGCACTACAAACCGCAATTGCTTCCCTGCTTCCTAGAAGATTGCCAGGGGTGTTTCTGTCTATTTACATGCTTTATCTATTCAGCTTTGACTAAGCTCTACAAAACACTGCTTGTACGCTGTTTATTCATGCACCTTTTTCCCAAGCAACCACGAAATTAAATCTTTGTAAAGCTTATTCAAGAGACAATTAATGTAAATAAATTAAAAGCTTCTAAATATATACAAGTTTATTTAAATGGATATATCATACATGGCAGGTGTTTGTAAAATTTTTCAATGGAAATAGTATTTTCTTAAAAAAAAATAATATCTTGCAACGTTATCAAACGGAAAAATATTTTTTAAAATAAAATTAATTTGAACGCATGTTTATCTAAAGAGTAACTATGCTGTAAAAAATGTTTGGAATTTTTACAAATTCAGTTGCATTAAGTGATAGTTTTCGGATTCATTAAAGAATAGTAATTAATGGTGGTTGGATAAAATAAAGGGGTAAGATTTACTCATTTATTCAAAAGTTAACAAATGAGAAATCAATTTGTCAAAAATTCTGAAACTGAAAATCCTGATTCTGTAACATTTTTTCTATTTTCTTAAATTGCGTTTCTTAGTGCCAAATATTAGTCTGTAGTGAGAAATGTTTTAAGAAGGCTCGTTTAATTGACTTTTGGCAAATGGGACCTTCAATATTGTTGTCAAAGGAGGACCAAAACATCGGGTCAAACGAATAAACACTTTAGTATAGCACAATTCACAAGAAACCCATGCCCAGCCAAAGGAATTTGTCATGCAGCATACTTGTTCGGTGGATTTTCTTTTTCTTTTTTTATGAGATAGGTTAGTCAAAAGTTTTTAAGACAGTTTAAATATTTAAAAATAAAAATTTATTGAAAATTATATTTATTAAATTAAAATATAAATATTTAATAAATATTTTTTTTAAAAAGCTATTACTAACAATTGTTTATCTACTAATCGTGACAAACTTTATTAATAGGAGAAGAATTATCTTAACAAAAAAAATTATCTTTCATCAATGTCTTTAGAATACTAATTAATAATTAATATTTTATAAAATTAAATAATTAATTTTAAAAACAAAAATTTTAAACATAATTTATGCTCAAGACATATGCAAACATCTTATATATACTAATAATTCTTTTAAAATAAATTAGAATGGGAATGAAGAACATAGGAGGGTAGTTTGAATGCTATTCGGCCGCCATAAGATTCACTACCCCGGTGAGTGCAGTGGACGTTAACCAACAACAAGCCTAGTCTGAACACTGTTTCGGCCAGGTCAAAGTATGGGCTCAAAAACATTTTTTGTCAGAATTTTGTTATATATTTTTAATTGTTTTATAGAATATATATTAATTACCTTAAAATATAAGAATACTTAATAAAATTTTATTTAATATTTTAAAAAATATACATAAAAATTAAGAAAAATTAAAATTGTTCTTCTTATTAACCAGACATAGTAGGTGGTACAAGCAACTTAGCTGAGGCCTCTCATCAATTTCTTGTGAGCATTTGTATACAAATCTATGCCTCTCATCAATTTCATGTGAGTGCCGAATTTTTTTCAACTTTTGAACCTTTTATTTGTATAATTATTTCAACAATTTTATTAATTTTAGTCATTAGAATTAAGTTTAAATATTTAAAAGTAATAATTTTTTATTTAATTTTTTTATCAACAATGTAATAATATTTTTAATAAAAGTTAATAAATTTTTAATTATTAAATAAATATTGTTAAAAAGATATACAGAAAGATATAATAAAATAAATTTGTAATTCAAATATGAAATTCACCTGTAGATGCCTCTCCTTCCATAGAAGGTAAGGAAGTTAGAACGTAAGAATTATGTCTTGTTGCTGCTTATTTCATTCAACTCGCAATATAGATTCCCTTCACGGTAACTTCTGCGATAGAAATGCCACATAATTCCCATATTTGTTACAAACTTTGAGAATATATTTATATATAGACTTATATTTTATTTTAGAGCAAAATATATATTTATATATTTTGCTCTGGAAAGTATGGTTACATTTAATTTTAATTTTTTTTAAAATTTGTTATTAATTTTTGTGTTTATAAATTTTGAGCTTATAAGTTATAACCTGTCATTTATACCTAATAAATTAGTTAAAAAAAATTTTAACTTGTAACTTAAAAGTTATAAGCATTAAGTAATTGAATTAAAACAATTTACTAAAAGAATCTTTCTAATCAATGTTCTAATTAAAGAATTAAAAGGAAAGAATTGTTAAAAATTATGCTAATTAATTACACTAGAAATCACATGGAAAGGTCAGAGGTACATTAATAATATTTTTAGATAAAAAAAATTCATTTTTCAATTCCTTAAACAGTGTCCTAAACATTTGCCATAAAAAAATTAAGTGTCTACCTTGAAATGTACTAAATAAATAAAAAATAGGGTTAAAATCATTTTGTCCGGTATAAATTATTTAAGAGATCAGAGATAAAGGTAAGATATATTAATAACTAACTTCTAATAAACTAAATACTAGTTAAAATAACATTTTATAAATTAACATTCAAAATCTATAAACTCTTTTTATTATTCACCAGACAATTTGATTAGCTTGGTAAAGCCTCAGGTAAACAGAAGTTTTATGTTCTTAATTGACAGTGCTAAGTATAAAACCATTCTTTGTATAAGAATTTGTAGGTAGAACATAATCGTCCTACATTTATCAAAAGTGGGTTCATGTAAAACAAATATTTATCTTGTGTTACATATTGATTTTCTAGATCAAAACTTGGTTTATTTCATTGTTATTGATAAATGATCAGCAACAATAATTTGTTTATTGATAAATGATCAGCAATAATAATTTGTTATTAACGTGTTTTTGAATTAGTTATAATCTTATCGTATTAGATTGTTAAAGAGATATTCCAGGAACTATTGTTAGCATATATTTCTTCCTATTATGTAGTGCTCATCTTATATATATACTACATTTACGTACATAATAAAAATTAACCAATTCATCTATATGGTATCAGATATCTCTCCTTGATCCTACCTCTCCCACCTCTTTCAAATTTCTTTTACGTTTCAGGGCGTCGTTCCCTCTCTTCACGCATGGCTGCGGAATCAAATCTAACCTTCCCTAACCCCATGAACCCACAAAGCCCTTCTCCTTTGTTACTTTATTAGGTGTCGTCAAGCTGACACAATCTAACTATCTCAACTGGCAGTTACAAATAGAAGCAATTCTAGATGGCCTTGACCTCTACAAATTCTTCGATGGTTCTCATCCAGCACTGGCAGCCTTCATCGACAACACTGATACCCCACCTGTCAGTCAAGCCAACCCCGTGTATCTTACCTGGAAACGCCAAGATCGTCTCATCTATGGCGCTCTTCTTAGCACCCTCTCGGATTCCGTTGCCTCGCTAGTTACCCAAACCAAAACCTCCGCTGCTCTCTGGTCGACTTTCAAGGGCACTTTTGCACGTGCCTCTCGGGGACACGTCAAGCAACTCAAGGATCGTTTACGCTCCACGGTAAAAGGCACACTTTCTGTTATAGAATTCATGAACAACATCAAAATAGTTGTTGATTTACTTGCTTCCATCGGTCACTTTGTTTCCATCGAGGACGTTACTAATCACGTTCTTCGTGATCTTGATGAAAGCTTTAAGCCCGTCATTGATGGCGTCAACGCCCGGGACAACCCCATTGCTTTTGATGAACTCCATGAGAAGCTCATCCAACATGTACTTCACCTGAAAACCACTCACCAACTGACCATAGGTCCCACAACGACACTCACTGCTCAAGCTAAACCCAACAAAGCCAAACCGAGGCTATTTACACAGTCATAGTCATGGTCGTCTCCTCCACCAAATGCTTCTTGATCTGTGCCGCCGCAGCAACAGTCCACCTCTCGTTCAGCAGGACCACGACCCTACTTAGGAAAATGTCAATGGTGCAAAAATGTTGGACATTCATTGCTGCAGTGCCCAATTTTCCGTCAACTCCATCCCACCATTCAGGTCCCGCAGAACCCATCTCGTTAGCCCAATCACTACACTGTCCCGCGGGCAAACACCATGACCACCGGCCCTTCCAATCATCATTACCTGGTTGATAGTGGAGCCACACATCATGTCACTATTGACCTAAACAATCTTGCTGTCTACCACCCCTACACTGGTCCCGACTCGCTATTTATGGGTGACGGTTCAAGTTTGCACATTTCTCATTCCGGCACTCTTAAGCTTCATGATATCTCATTGCCTAATGTCCTATGTGTCCCTTCCATGAAACAAAATGTACTTTTTGTTTCCAAACTAACCAAAGAAACCAATTATGCCCTTGTTTTCTTACCTGATTCTTTTGTTATGAAGGATCTCCAAACCGGTCACACGAAGCTTAAAGGACCATGTGTTAATGACGTCTACGTTTGTCCATCGTCCTCTCTGTTTGTCAATCATCTTCAACTAAATAAATCAATAGGTTGGCACCACAAGTTGGGTCATCCCTCCTCCTCAATTTTCAGTTTTCTTCAACGTGAATTTTCCTTAGGTTCTATGCAGTTTAACCAATCAGATTGCTCATCTTGTCAAATAAGCAAAAGTCACAAACTTCCTTTTCATGAATCTTCACTTTTGTCGTCATTTCCATTAGAAATAATATTTTCAAATGTATGGACTTCTCCCATTTTATCTAATGATGGCCTCAAATATTATTGTATGTTTGTTGATCACTTTACTCGCTATATTTGGCTCTATCCAATGCGCAAGAAATCTGATGTTCAATCAATTTTTCCTAAATTTAAACCTCTTGTTGAAAATTACTTCAAACACAATATAAAATTTTTTTACACCAATAATGGTGGAGAGTACATTGGCTTACGTTCATTCTTGTGTGATCATGGTATAAGCCACAAAACAACACCACCCCATACCCCTGAACATAATAGCATTGTTGAAAGACGAAACCGTCATATTGCTGAAACTGGTCTTTCTCTCTTAACACACTCTGGTGTACCACTTAGATATTGGCCCTATGCAATGACAACTGCTGCATATCTCATAAATCACCTCCCTACACCCATACTTGCATATAAATCACCGTTTTCCAAACTCCTAAACACCACCGCAAATTATCATAAGCTTAAGAGTTTTGGATGTTTGTGCTTTCCTTGGCTTAAACCATATGCTAATCATAAGCTTGCTGCAAGATCTACCATGTGTGTTTTTGTAGGTTATGCAGCTGATCAAAATGCCTACCACTGTCTTGATCCCTCAACAGGACGCATCTACGTGTCTCGCCATGTTAGGTTTGTTGAAACCACCTTCCCTTTCTCCACCATGTCCATCCAACCCTCACTGCCCACACCCGTCTCCACACAGATTGACCTCACTATCCCCATAACCCACAATTCCCTCCCTATAATACCGGCTCAATCCACAACCATATCGTCCAGCTCCAACTCAAATCCACTGCAATCTCCTAACCTATCCCATACTACGGTCCCATCTCCACACACTACGGTCCCATCTCCATCTTCCCTAGCACCCCCTCGGGTTTCCCACCCACAGCCACCTATACCTACGGGTATAGTAACCAGATCTAGAAATAATATAACCAAACCCATATCCAAACTTAACCTACACCTCACCACCAAACAACCAACCGAACCTTCTACTATCACCCAAGCTCTTCGGGATTCTGATTGGCGGGCTGCTATGCAAACGGAGTATGATGCCCTTTGCAAAAATAATACTTAGGACCTCGTTCCTTCATCTATTAGTGAGAACATTGTTAGTTGCAAATGAATTTTTTGCATCAAACGTCTTCCAGATGGTTCAATTGATCGGTATAAAGCTCGCCTAGTAGCAAAAGGATTTCACCAACACCCTAGCCGGGATTTCAGTGACACATTTAGTCCTGTTAGCAAGCTTGTGACGGTCTGGGTTATTCTCACACTTGTTGTAAATCGTGGTTGGTCTCTTCGACAACTTGACATTAACAATGCTTTCTTACAGGGTTCTCTTTCTGAGGAAGTCTTCCTAAGTCAGCCACTAGGGTTTGTTAATAAGGCTCATCCTACTCATTTTTTTCGTTTTCGCAAAGCTTAGTATGGTCTTAAATAAGCACCACGTGCCTGGTATAATGAGCTTCGCACATTTCTATTATCCTTAGGATTCATGAACTCAGTTGCTGATGCCTCATTATTCATTTTTTGACATGGAATAACCACATTATACTTGTTAGTCTATGTTGATGATATTATTGTCACAGACAGCTCCCCTGATGCAGTATCTACACTCATTTCTCGGCTTGCCGCTAAATTCTCCTTGAAGGATCTAGGCACCCTGAATTATTTCCTTGGTGTTGAGGTCTTGGCGTCTCCTGATGGCTTGTTCCTCACACAACAAAAATATGTCCAGGACTTGCTTGTTCAGGCTAGTGTGGTTGACACCAAACCTACCTCAACCCCACTTTGTGCATCAGTTCCTCTTGTCTGTGTCAGTGGCACCCCATTATCTTCACCTACTGAATACCGTCAACTTATGGGGAGTCTTCAGTATCTCATTATCACCAGACCGAATGTTGTCTTTGCTACAAATAAATTATCTCAATTTATGCAAGCTCTGACGACGGCCCACTAGTCTGCTCTCAAGCGACTCCTTCGTTATCTGGCTGGGACGTCCACTCATGGTATTCATATATCTGCCTCCTCTCCCTTGGTTTTTCATGCATACTCTGACGCTGACTGGGCAGGTGATACGGACGACTATGTGTCGACTACATGCTATATTCTTAATCTTGGTGACACTCCAATCTCCTGGAGTTCACACAAGCAACGGTCGGTAGCACGATTATCCACCAAATCTGAGTACAAGGCACTTGCAGACACTGCCGCTGAAATGTTATGGGTGATCTCTCTCTTTGGAGAACTTGGGCACACTATCAACACTCAACCGATCATCTATTGTGACAATCTAGGTGCTACAAGTCTCAGTGCAAATCCAGTTTTTCACTCTCGCATGAAACATATTGCCCTCGCTTATCACTTTGTTAGAGAACAAGTCCAGAAGGGTACCTTTCGTGTCTCCTATGTATCCACAGAAGATCAACTGGCTGATGTTCTAACCAAACCGTTACCACGCACAAAGTTCGACTATCTAATGTCCAAGTTGCATCTACTCTACCGATCGTCCAACTTGCGGGAGAATGTTATTGATAAATGACCAGCAACAATAATTTGTTTATTGATAAATGATCAGCAATAATAATTTGTTATTAACGTGTTTTTGAATTAGTCATAATCTTATCATATTAGGTTGTTAAAGAGATATTCCAGTAACCATTGTTAGCATATATCTCTTTCTATTATGTAGGGTTCATCTTGTATATATACTACATTCACGTACATAATAAAAATCAACCAATTCATCTATATTCATGCCTTCTACTTCATGTACAGCTCCTATACATACTCACAGAATCACACTAGCATCTTCTCCCCGCACAAGCGTCACTAAACAATGGAAATTACACTCTGCAGTCACAGCTCATTGCAGCACGGCAGTGACTCAGCAACATAGCCTAAGCCACTTGGGCTTCATTATGTCACGTTTAGGCCTGACTTTAGTAATTGGGCTTATGAATTCATCTACTCTCTCAGCTCTATCTTCAATACTTAGGCCCATATCTTATAGCCCATATCAATGGGGCTGAGTGGTATTCAAGTCAAAAAGTCAAAGTCGTCATCGACTTGATCAAACAAAAAAACAAAAAGTTAAAGCCATCAGTCTCGTGATGCTTAGATTAGAAACGTCATGCATCTATAGCACGGGGAAAATGAAAGCTAGGACAATGACATCTTGACTCCAACTTGGAGGAGATGGAATTTTCAATTTGCTCTAATTTTAAATTTCATTTTTATGTAAAGTTTAAATTTTAATTTATTAAATGTTTCATGAAATTCAGTTACCCCACAACATATACATAGTAAAAGTTTTAAGTATGTTTTTCTAAGTCATGAACACCAAATACGATTTATATATAAACATTACTATTCCATTTGACTGCGTTGATTATTATTATTTTTTAAATTATACCATTAGTATTTTAATTATAAATATTAATGTTTTAAAAATTAAACGAATTATTAAATCAGCAAAAACATTGATTCTTGATTTATTAATATTTACTCAGACGAAAATATCATATGAAAACTAGAGTTAGAACAATATGTGACGGAACAAAAAAACAAAATTAAAATATCAAGATGCAAAGTTAAAGTCGCTAGGAGAGACTAGAAGTAATCAAACGGTAAGACCAGAAAAATCGCATAAAGTACTGCTTGTGGAAATTGAGTTAGGTGTATTTATTATCACTTATAATTTTTTTAATTGTTTTTTAAAGTAATTTTTGTTAAATTTTTTTATATAATTATATTAATAATAAAGATATTTTTTATATAAAAAGTAAATAAATGTGCCGGTAAATGCCTAAAAGTGTTAGCAAAGACTTTATTGAATCATATGAAGTAAGTAAAATAATAATTAAAAAAAGTTTCTTCTTACGATGAAACATCGTATCAGTTGATTGATTATTTTAAATTTTAATTTATTAAAAAATAAATAGATAAGTATCTCACCTCTTTCAATAATAAAACTAAATATTTTTTTTATAAAATTTAGGTAGTGTCCCTTCTTAAGTTAATTTTTGAGACTCACTTACCATGTAAATTAAAGTTAAGGCAGAATTTTTTTATTTAATTTTTTAATATAACTTTTTAATTAAATAAATTTAAATTAAAAGAAATTTTAGAAATTTTTTTATCTCTTTTTATTTTAAATCTTAAGATGTATAAATATACTACTAAAAATTTAAGTTATACATATATATATATATATATATATATATATAATTTTAATACTCGATTTTGTAATTTAATATTTAAAAAATGAAAGATGCTTAAAGAAAGAATAATTATAAAATAAATTATAAATGATAAATATAAAAATTTAAACATAACAGAGAGATTTTAAATTTTCCTCAAAAATAAGTTTAATAATGTTTTATTTAAAATAACAATTATCTAGTTAAAATTGTGAGGAATTTTAAAAATGCTTTCTTTTACTTTCTAAAGACATACAACTAATTAATTTTGAATAACTCAGGCCTACTCTAAATTATTTTAAAACATAATCGGAATATCATTGAATATATTTCATGCATTGAAACTGAAAACTATGTTTGCAAACTCCAACACACACCAAAACCTTAAGAATGGGGAAATAAAAGGTACAGAGAGGTCGAAGTTTTTTTGATACACCCTATTCTTCTCTAACCTATCATGCACTATCGACCTTCTTGATAACTGCTCTCAAATTGCAGACTTATTTCTGGTTTGCTAGAAGAAGAAGCTGAGCTAGAAAAACGCTTGTTGACGAAAAAGGTTGGTTGTGTGGGAACAGGGATGGTTGCAATCTCACTATCAAGCATTGTCAAAACATTTGACATAGTGGGTCGATCACCTGGTTCATCTTGTACGCATAAGAGCCCAACAAGTGCACACTTAATCAATTGATTTTCGTTGCAAGTTTCACCCAAACATGGCTCCATTAAATCAAACAGCTTATTCTCTGTCCATAGCTTCCATGCCTGATACAATGTTCATTGAAATCGTTTTACTAGTAAGTCAACTTGTTACCAAAACAGAACAATAAAAAAAGTGCAACAAACATACATAACCCAAAAGACTAGAAATTTGTTTGGACTGATAGAATCCCGTGTTTTTTTTTCCGCTAAGAATTTCTAGTACGACTACTCCAAAGCTGAACACATCAGATTTGATCGAAAAATAACCATCCAAGGCATATTCTGGAGCCATATATCCACTGAAAAAAAAGAAGTAATTGTTACATGTTGCAAGCATGTGTGTAAAATATCTCTATGAACCAAAAGAAAATTAAACAATGAACATTTATGATCACATATACTTAGTGAACTTACTAGGTTCCGACTACTCTTTCTGTACTAGCTTCCGTTTCTTTTCCCCCAAATATTTTGGCAAGGCCAAAGTCTGATATCTTCGGATTCATATCCTCATCTAGAAGAATGTTGCTTGTTTTCAGGTCTCTGTGAATCACTCTCAATCTGGAGTCTTGGTGAAGATACAACAACCCTCGAGCAATGCCTACAATTATGTCAAATCGCATAGGCCAATCTAGGAGCAAAGTTCTTGTCCGGTCTTTCAAAATTAACATTTGAAATAACAGTGTTAGTAAATTAACGATTGTAATAATTAACGAGAACTTTAACGCTTAGAAAAGTTATATGATGGAATATGTGAAACTAACCAAATATGAAAGAGTCCAAACTCTTGTTTGGCATGTACTCATAAAGCAAGACCTTTTCATCTCCTTTTATGCAATAGCCCCTAACTCTAACAAGGTTCCGATGTTGAAGTTTGGCAATCAGAACAACCTCATTTTTGAATTCTTGTAATCCTTGAGTGGAAACACTTGAAAGCCTCTTTACAGCTATATCTTGACCACTAGGAAACGTTCCCTATATAGGAGTTGTCCGTTTATCTTGAGAAATTCTTGCATGTACTCAATGCTTGGAGGGTAATGAAGTTAAATGAAATGAACCAATCACCTTATAGACAGGCCCATAACCTCCTTGTCCAAGCTTGTTTGAATCTGAGAAATTATCTGTAGCAGCTAGAATGCTTGCAAAAGTATAGCAGGGTACTTCAATGCCTTCAACGTCTTTTTCTTCTAAGCTTCCTAAGCCAATTAATCCTTTCACATGTCTTTCACTATCGTACAAGCTCTCCTGAATCCGAGTGCTTGTCACATCTGAACTCAGTAACAAGATGTATATATAACCATGATTACATTTATGAAAATAAAGAATTTTCAATTCAAAATACAAAACTATAAAGTAATACCAGGCATATTAGGGGCTGTTTTCCTTCTCCGCACAATGACAAACACTATTATGCTTGCCAGAATAGTCATGCCAATAAGAATTGTAGTAAGAATCAAAGCCAGTCGGTGAGTTGAATGGTTTTCTGATGACTCTTCTGTCCAAAGAAGTAAGTAAAACGCAAAACTTAAGAGCGCAAATACCATCATAATTGTACAACGTAATGCCTTGAATTGAATATTTGCACAGCTGACTAAAAGTGAAAAGAATAAATGAAATGACTTTTAGCCTTATCAAATGGAATAGAGAAGCACTTCGAAGAAAATTATTAAAAAAAACATCATGATAATTAATATCTAAAAAATTTGATTTTTAATCAAGTTCAATGGTTATGTGTAAGGTTTTATTGTTGTTATAAACACCTTGAATTGAACATTTTAGTTCATCATTTTGATTCAGAAGTGTTTGGACATTCCACCAATCCTAACTCCGCAGTAAACAGTAAGACGTTGGTATACATACAAAAGAAAAAAACTTGAAAGCGTGTTCTTAATTGGATTTTTTATTTGCTTGTTCACCAACACTTGGCAGAAGAAGGAAACAAAAGTCAAATAAAATCTTTCTTATCTAGCAAACCATTATACTATAAATAGAGAAAATCAGAAAAGTAAATTTGTAGAGATACGTACAATAATAATATGCTAACCTTTAGTACAATTAAAAATTGTGGCATTCCAGTTATAGTTTAAATCGCAAAGGCACCTTGTGTCTCCTGTATTTGTTGGCCTACATGTTGAATGTGACAACAGCTTGCAGTCTATAGGGTTACTACAGGGCGGTTCTTGTGCTGATTGCCAACTGATCTCTATTTCATCATCTTTAAAGCACCAATTAGTCACACTAAATGGAAAATTAGGCGAATCATTTTGATTGATGGAAGCTTGATCACAGTGATTCGAATCATCCGTTTGAATGTAAAACTTTCTGGTATCTACATCGATCCAAGTAACTCGGTAATGTTTTCCTCCGGGCATCATGAAACTAACCTGGCCTTCGTGACAATTGAACTTGTAGTACGCAGGGTCTCCACAGGTTGGCCCAGTGCTTAGCGGATAAGGAATTGTATATGTGCCACAAGGTTCACACGATTTCGCAGTTGGTGCTGCACAAGAATATAATTCAGTTAAATGGCATGCACGTTTTCAGTTGATTTATCTATAAATCCATCTAATTGACATGTCAATACAATAATAAGGCCCATCATGTAGAAGTGTCAATGATTTCTTAAATTCCATTCCAAGGTATATAGGTTAAAAATAATTTATCGAAACGATAAATAGTTCATTTGCTCTTCTAAAAAGGCATATATAACTAATGACTACAATAAGAGATGATTTAAGAAGAACAAAATTACCTATGTCTGAGCTCTTGACTAGGATAGAAAGATAACGACCGGTAATACTATCGTCGTCCTCTTGAAGACTGGGTAAATCCCGTGTCCAGATTTCGCACAGATTGGGATCGGAACCACGATTATATGAAGTTGCAGAGATATTATATGAATAAGCCTGGCACTGGATGTGGGAGTCATAACACATGTTAAGGCACAAGGATTGGCATTTTTCTTCTGTTTCTGTGCGGTTCCGTAGATCTGGCTTGCCCACCTTTATCTTGGTTAAGTTGAGGAACATCATGTTCTCGTTGGTACACGACTTTGATTTTCTGACACACCCTGGGAGATGGAAATCTCCATGATGCTGCTGATTATCCGACATCCCGCGATGGAATCCTGGCAAGCATTTGCAGCGCTGCCAATTATTTTTGTTGCAGCTGCTAAAGTAGCCGCAAAAATTGTGTTTGTCACAGTCGTCATGTGGCCACCACCATCGTCGATCCCACTTCTTCTCTACGTCTTCTTCCCATTTCAGAAAATTTACCTCCCCCGTGAAATTCATTACCAGCCTCGATTTATCAAAATCACGAGGTTGCAGTTGCGGATGCGATATATTGATGAATGGACTGGGGCGTGAAGCATAAGAGTTGGTGGCGTTGACAAACGCCAAGAAGTTATAAATTGACGTCGCTTCTGAATCCCGTTCATCAAGTGTCCAATAAAGTTGTGAATGGTTATTTACAACGATTTTTGCATCGTTCCCCGTTTGAACCAACTTAAGGGAGAAGCTCCCACTTCCGGGGTCAACGGCGCTTCTTCCAGAAGTCAACGTAAAATTTGCGTCCATTTTCATGCCCGGAAGAAACGTGTCTGTTGGGTGTTGAAAGCTCTGCCACAAGTTATTATTATTATTATTCATTAACACTAAATTCCCAGAATCTAGGAGCTTCACGGTTCTGTTTGAGGTTGTGGACGAGGAGGACCCATTGAGTCCAGAAGACCAATAGCTTTGTGATGCACCTGCTATTACCAGATTTCCATCCCTTGCAATTTGAAAAACTGCGCTGGAATCTTCCACAGGCTTGTCTCTGTTTGCAACCCATACCGCTGTTCGTGGTTCCAAGTTCCAATACCATATCCCCAAGTATTTTCTACCACGCTCATCATCCGGAAATGAAAAGAAGCCCAATTCAAAAGTGCTTTCAGCTGAAACGAGGTTCCCCAACTCCTGAGTTATCTTCTCCCCTTGATTCAAAGTATCTGTTGCTGAACATGATTGGGAGCACAGCAACCAACAAAGGAGGGAAAACGCAGCGTGGGTGGTTCTCATATGATTGTTGATACTTCGATCCCAACCACACGTCGTTTCTCGTTAGAAAGAAATCACTTTCTTTTTTTATATATGGATCAATCTAATCGTAAATATAAATGTAGTCCCTTTCATATTAAACATTAAAAATGAATTAGCGTAATTCTATTAAATTATTAAACACGAACCAATGCATGCATGCATTTTTATGTGGTCTGTGAGGCTTTCTGGCATCCAAGTCGTCGTCCAAGTCTACGCAAGTCGTCGTAGTCTTGCTGTCATTACCTTCAGTGCTATTCTTCTTCTAAGTAGCCGACACCTCGTTCTATCAGCTTGTCTAAATATTTGACTTAATAATTTTTTTATTGAAAGATTGCAAACAAATCCTTTTGAGATATACGAACAAAAAGTAATTTATCTACTATAATTGTTCTCATAAAATAAGATAAATTTGCACGCGGGTGAGATTATTTTTTCAGGTGCAGAGATTCAAAATATGATCAACGGCGATTTTTAAATAATATATTTAAAAAACTTTAAAATGTCATTACTGTTTTTTGAAAAAAATTTAAAACACCGTTGACTTTAATAAAAATTTAAAAGTACTAAAAAATATTTTTGGCAATTTTTGCACCAAATTGAAAATTTATCATATTCCCGTAATTTTTTTTTCAAAATCTTATATTTTGGTATTTAAAATTTTTTTCCTCATACATATATATAAAGCCCACGCGAATGTTTGTATGAAATAACGCAAATTTAGTCTAATTTGGACGGTAGTTTTGTCAATTCATCCAAGTCTAAAAGTTAAAAAATAAGTAATTATTTTGCCAATATAAACTAAATAAAATACACTGTCATTTTTTTCTTCAATATACATTGTCAAACAAATGATATCAATATAAAATGCTATCCTATTATATAATTAAAATGTATTAATTTACGTTAGTGATTATTTGATTTATCATTACTTTTATTAAAAAAAAAAAGTATTAGGCCTTAAAACACTGTGATACATTGGACCAGGCCATGTTAACAGAAAGTGTGTTTTTGGTTTGGACAAAATAGGAGTAATGTGTAAAACCTGGAAACTCTGACCAACTCGTGGACCATGTTATTCCTTTCCCTTCCAAAACACTACACATTCACTTTTATATAAGTAGAAGGATTTGTAAGATGAAGTATAGAAGTAATAGAAGAATTTAGCATTTTTTAAAAATTAAAATTTGTGTAAATATTGACTTTAAGAATTGCATTTCCAGAATAGCATTTAATATTCATGAAATATAATTTCAGAATTATAATTCTACACAATTTTAGAATTAATTTTTTGAAATATGAAAATGAAAAAAAATCCAAGTTGAAGATCTAAAGACCAATGGAAACTTGTATATAGTCCAGAGTTTTTCATTTTTTTTTCTCTTAATTGGATCATGCAAATAGTTTTCATTAATGTAATGAGAAACTATAGGTGATGGGGAAGAAAGTGTGATACAGAAGAGTGATGACTGTTGCTAAAAAAAAAAAAAAGGGGTTGTGAGAGTTTTTATTATTCTTAAGAATATATTTAGAATAAATGTTACAGAAATTTTAAAGGGATATCAACTGTAAAAATATGAATGGTAAAATCGGTAACTCCCAAGAATTAGCTTAAAACACTCTCTCTCTCTTTTTGTCAGTAGCTTGGAACACTCATTCGTTCATCGCAACCAACATCAACAGCTACATAATTTTGGGCTTTAATTCCCGGCCCAACATTTTGGGTCAATCGATGTCCAAATGAGTGAATAATCTCATAACAATCTCGGTCTACTGGCTACGTCTTGAATGTAAAGGCCCTTTGCTAGGCTAAAAAATAAGTCTTACTGCATGGGCCTGGCCATTAGCCCATAATCACCTTATTGCTGGTTGACCCAGAAAAAAAAGCCCTTATTGCTGTTGATGTGAAGACATACGAAGAAGAAAAAGTTCTCTAAGTTAAGTTTAAGAAGGGAGTGAAGGAGAGAGAAGATATTAGAAGGAATTTAATCTTATTTGTGAGTTACTTAATTAGGAGGAGAAAGTTTTAAGAGTTTTTCTAAACCCTTTAAAACACTCTAAGAGTTTGTTTTTTGAGTTCTCCTATTTTAGAAATTTTTTCTCTCTCACTCTTTTATACAAATAAGATTTTTTTAACTTTTTTTAAATATTAGTTTTTCAAATAATAAATTTAAAAAAAAAAATATTAATTTAAAATTATTTATATAATTAAACCCTCTTATTACTCTCTCTTTTCAATATTAAACATCCAAACAAATAAGTAGTTTAACCTCCTTTTCCTTTACTTTCTTTTATTCTTCCTTTAAACCATTTTCCTTCTTCCCCTTCCACACTGTCATGCAAAGCCTAAGATTGCATCATATATATCTAGACCTAAAATAAACTTTGAGAAGAAGTTTTCTTGAAAAACTATGAAACTTTTGTTAATCAATAAAAATATTATTTAGAGAATAGAGAAATTCATGACAAAATTACATGCCTTTTTCTAAGAAAAATTCATTTAACTATCACTAATAAATTAATACTATTTACTATATCACTATTAAAAAAGCAATTAGCAAGTGAACTATTTTAATGTTATTTTTTGGTTAACAATTCTTTTAAAGCTTAAAACATCTACTTGAGCAACTTTATGGTTGCGCCGGTCAAATCTGTAATTACATAAGAATTATTCTTTATTTATGTTTTCTTAACTAAAATGTTGAAGGAGAAAGATTATCACATCCAAAGCTCTAAAACAAGTCACAAATTTTAAGGAAATTTTATATTTTTCATTTGCATATGACTTGCGAATAAAATATCATCCACACAGGTCAAACTCACCAGAGTTTTTTCTTCAGTTTATTCAATGAATAGGAAAATGAAACATAACTTAGGAAATAAAAGTACGAACATCACTCTACGGATTAAATGTCAATCTTTTTCATTGTTTGAGGAAACAAAACTTCAGGAATACCTTGAACAAACGAGTACTTGCAAAAATATTTTGAGCTACCTTTGAACAAGAGTCTTGAGGGAAACTAGACCAAATTATTTAATGTAATGTCATATTGTCGCTGACATCCATAGTACTTTAAAACAAGACTAATATATCATATTGATGAAGGTGAATTATTCCACCGGTTTATTGTTTCAGTATTACAGCACTTATTATGGGGAATCTTTCTCGTGTTAATAAGTAAAGAAAATGCCTAGAATCATGGAAAAAAAAAAGCATAGAAAGAAAAAATACAGAAAATTTAAATGCCTGAAAATCACTCATCTACTCGAGTTATTTTTTAGAGCCGAACAAATTATAAGTATAAAAAAAGTTGAGCATTATTAATTATATATCATGTTTTTATAATATCTTCTATGGCCCTTTCCTTATTTTTTAATCATATAAAATATTTTATCTCATTTTTCCTGTCTTTTTATTTCAGTCTTGAATATAAAAATTGTTGTACAATTCCTTTGTATAAATATAATTTCCTAAATGAGTTACAAATATACTTTGCCTTTTTATAGTTGAGCTTGTGCATATTTGAATGTTTCTTGTGTGTTTACTATAGAACTAGAAATTCAGTCATGAAGCTGTTGCTTTTGTGTTGCAATGAAAATAAAAAAAAAGCAAGAAATGCAGTGGACGGAGAGAATTAAATTCGAAATGGGTTAGTGCTTTTTATTTTATTTTTTTTGTGTTGTCACTGTCATTGGATGTGACTAACACAACATATTTGATTAGTGTTTACCCAATATTTACTCATAAAAGAATGATATTATAAAAAAATATCAAAATGTCATTATATATATAAAATCTCTAAACTCATAAATCATGCGGAACCAGGTTAGTGGTTATCCCAATAATCATTCATTTATCCCCTACGCACCGTAATTGTGGCATTCTTGTATCTTGCTAGGGGACGAAAGTTGTTGTTAAAGTTCATAATTAGCCAATTTTCTCAGTAACCAAACCTGAAACCAAATTTTGGCAAGATTGGACCCAGATAATTTTTTAAAAAAATAAAAATAATTTTTTTTATAAATATTATTGGTGTTATTTATTAATTAAATTATAATTTTATTAGAATAAAATATTTATATTTGATAAAATTGAATTAATAAATAGTATTAAGCAAATTAACAGGTGAATTGAGAAACGAAACTTTATTTGTCTTATCGATCCCCCTGTAACGTGTTACGAGTGTTCTACTAGGAGGAACACCGCCAACGTTGACTTGTGGCGTAAAGCTTATTTCTCTGGAATCATATTGGGAGAGAAAGTGAGGACGAAAACGGCATCATCCACGTCTGTCGTTTAGAGAATCTCTCTCAAGAAGGAGAAAAAAATAGGCAATGCGAGTGGCAGCACTCACGTGGGTGTGGGTCCATGTTGGATGGGAGAGGCGCGTGAAACTCAGGTTGGGGAATGGGCGATTGTAATTTGGATGGAGTTGGTGAATGAATGATTTAGGAGAGAGAAGAAGCGAAATCAAATCAGGTAAAGATGACCACATCTACATCCACATGGCGGAGTCTCCACCCAGTGAATGAAATCGAGCCACCTAAGCAAATCGGAATCTCAATGATGCCTATGCGCCACGTAGACACACCCACCGATTTCTCCTCTCTCAGAAACCACAAACAAGGAAAAATATCGCATGACCCAAAAGGAAGCATTTATGCTGTGTTAATGTTAATGTTTTTAAGGAGTGGCATGCATGGAATAGAGTCCACCCTTCAGCGCCATTACACCACACAAAACTATAACCTTCTTGTTCCCTTCACAGCAGACACCTGGCGCCCCAGCACACCACAAAACCACTACCCCTTCTCATCACTTTCCTTCCTCTATCTGCTTTCTTAAATTTCACTTCCCCCCTTTTTATTATTATCAAAATTATGTGTATGAATTATATTATCCTTTCTAAATACTTATTGCCTCAGTTATCTGTTTCTTTTATTTTACAAAAAAAATATTTGTCTCAAAATAATGTTTTTTATTTTATAAGAGCTATGCAGATAAATAAAAGCAGCTCTATGTGTGGGAAGGAAGGTAAAGTTTCAAATTATAATGCACGCAGATTAAATATTATGTAGGTAGAACTAGGATAATTAAAATTAAGTTGATAATTAGACAAGAAAACATATCACACCTAAACAATGTCCGGAGATGCTCCGTCATTTAGAAGAAAAAAAAAGAAGAAGAAGAAACTCTCTGTTTCAGACATTTATTATGTAACCAATTGAACATTTTGAGCAAATGTAGCACAAATTATATAAGTTATGACAAGACCTTTCCTCACGTGAAGTGCACATACACTGCAACTAGAGCTTTAATTCGCTAGCCCATTGTCTCTAATATTGAACGAGTTCATATATATATATAAAAATAGTGTATTTAAGATTTACTTTTTTATGAAATTGTTTAAAAAATTTATTAAAATATTTTGATTAATTATTTTATATAAATTTTATCATTAAAAATATTTTTATCGTTTTAAAAAAAATTTAATAGTGATTCTATTCATCTAAAACAGAATTACTTTTCTTTTTAAAAAATAAAAATAAAAAACCCTTTCAGTTTCCTCAAAATTATACTTAAGCTTTTACATTAGAGATTTAATCGTAGCGATATTTATTGGTGATATAAAATAATTATTAAATAAAAAATAAATTTATCATTCGGTTGGTTTCAACTTGCTAAAACATTGTTCATGATTAAAATGAAATTAAGGTTTCAAAACTCTACTGGATTCATAAAAATAATGATTACATGATAATTTTTTTTATGCAAATAAGCATTTGATCAAAATACAAAGCTAGAGGGTGGGATCAAAAGTAAACTAATTTATCTTTATATTACATGTTTAAAATTTTATTATTAAATAAAAATATTTTCAAGAATCATTAACTTCTAGTAACTTACAATATCCATATCAGGATATTATAAAATAATGTTATGCATCTATTAATGTTACATCATCTCACATAAAATGTAAAGTGATAGAATATTATAATTATTAAAATGTGAGTGCACGAAAAGTGACATTATTTATAATTTTATAAATAAATATATGCAAAAGTATGTGTATTTAACATTATTAACATGCTACTCAGTACAAGTTCATGACTTTTAATTAGTAGTTTTTATAAATATTTAAAAGTTTATTAAATATAACTAGTAATTGATAAATTTAGTCTTTTACTTTTTATAAAATAAATAATTCATTTTGACTATGTATGGGAGGAAAAAGGATCAGGGTTAACCCCTTGCAACCCAAAAATTGGATAAAAAAAGAAAAACTAGAAAATTTAAACAAATTTACTTATTTACGCATAATTCAAAAAGGCTAAAACCCAACTATGAAAATATTTTAATAATATTATTTACGGGCTGTTATACAAATGCGAAGGTGCAGAGTGAAAATTACTCAAAGAGATGAAAGGGTAGTTTGGGGCTTTGACGGAAAAATAAGGATTATTATTATTTTATGTATATATATATATCTGAGCAAGTTGCACCTTCTTTCCTCTTCTCTTCCTTCTTACCCCCATTCATCCAAACCGTACCAGCAGAGGAGAGAGAAAACACCTAACAGAAAAGAACTCAAGAAAGAGAGAGGAAAACCAGAAGACTCAAGAAAGAGAGAGGAAAACCAGAAGACTCTTCAATCATTGTTTCTGAGATGAAGAACTGCGAACTGTGTAAGGTTCCGGCGAGGACCTTCTGTGAGTCTGACCAGGCAAGCTTATGCTGGGACTGCGACGCTAAGGTACATGGAGCCAACTTCTTGGTAGCTAGACACACTAGAACCCTTCTCTGCCACACCTGTCAGTCCCTCACGCCGTGGAAGGCCTCCGGCGCCGCCCTCGGCAACACTGTCTCCTTGTGCGAGAGGTGCGCCGGCGGAACCAAAGAACAGGGCGAAGAGAGTGAAGGAGGCAATGACGAGGACATATACACGGATGGCGAGGATGATGACGAGGAGGATGAGGATGAGGAAGACGAGGTTGTAGGCGACGAGGATGGAGATAACCAGGTTGTCCCTTGGTCCTCCACGGCGCCGCCACCGGCTCCAAGTTCATCCAGCAGCGAAGAGTCCGTTAGCCGGTGCAACAACGGCGAGGAGGATATTTCTCAGTCAGTGTCGACATTGAAACGACGTCGTCAGGATGACGATTTTCAGGTTTAGATTTATTTTATTAAATTGTCCGATTGTTAATTAATTTCTTAATTTTTAATCTGTTCTGCTTCTGGTCTTTCTAACAAGACCATTACGTTTTGTGGGCATAACAATTAACAAGTACAAGGTTTTTTTTTGGGTTAATAACAGAAAAATGATGATTTGTTGATTTTACTGTAGGGTTCGAACAGTTGGGGGATATCAACCGAGGGAGACAGCGAATTGGGGAGAGGAGGTTGGCTTGTTAGAGTGCGACGGAGAACCGCCGTGGAAGGTGTCGATGAGGCGGGGGAGGGACGGAGAGAGTAGGCAGGAGATTGTTGTGATGAAAGATGGAGGCACCTAAGACATTTGATCTGAAAAGACACCGAAGAATCTCAGCCGCAAGATGGGGCCGTACCAAGGGATATTATTTATGAGCACTTTGATTAACTTCCTCTAACAGCACTCATAGTTTTGATAATGACTATCAAGTGTATGATGAATCAGATTTTTATGATTGTTATTATTTTTTGTTTCGATATTTTGAGGATGAAGACTGTGGGGGTGATGCTATATGTAGCTTTTTATTTGTTTTTTTATTGTAAAATATATTTATAGCTAGGTGAGGATGCTTTATGTTCTGAATAGATAGGAAAAACCAGGAAGTGAATGTGATTCTTGATTCATGATATGAAATTCTCCAACTATGCATTTCCCATATACTTTTTCTTGCTTCTTTTGGTTTTAGGAAGTCAATTAATGAGATACTGCCTTGCATGAACCATTGAATTTTGAAATGTAGGGATGATTTAGGCCGCAAAGGGGTGCCAGCAGTAAAAATTAGGCTAAAATTATTCAAACCCTCAATATTTTTAAATAGTTTCCGTTTGACCTCAGAAATTTTATTAAGCACAGAATAATGGAACATAGCTGCATACTAGGCTGAAATTCTTTTGACCTCTGATTTAGGATAAAATCCAATTCAAATTAATTATACTTGGGTTAATTTTGGTTATTTTAAAAAATTAATGTGTCTAAAAATATATATAACAATTTTTAATAAAAAATAAAATGATATTACAAGATCAAATACATTAATAATATTAATTGTTGAAAATTTAATAAAACTTTTATTATACATTGATTTTTTATTATGTCGCTGAATATGCGTTAAAATTTTATTAAAAAACGCATCAATTAATTTGTGTCAACTTAATTTACCTATGGTTGGGTTGAATTAAATTAAAAAGTAAATTATTGTCTTTTTAAGATTATATCTGTTGCATGTTTTTTATATTGAATTTAGAATTTATTAATATTGCTAATTATAAAAAAAATATTTGTTCTTTATTAGTTTAGGTAAAATTATTTTTTTTTTTATCATTGATATATTCTTTAAATAGAATGTGACCTTTTTATAATTATAATTTTAAATGTCTTCAATCTCTTCAGAATATGATAAATAAATTGGATAATAAACACTACTAGAGATTACAGCAATGCGAACAAACAGCAAAGAGATAGAGGTTCTCCATCCTCATCTCCCTCGCTATTTCCTTGACTCAGATTCTTATTTTTAGAGTAAACTTGCCCCTAGGTCCTATTCTCCCAGTGCTCAGTCAACACATGTTTCCTAAAACTGCAAAGATATTAATAATAAAATAGTTTTAAAATATTTAAAAAAGTAATTGTTTTCAACAGATTTAAGTATTGTTTAATAAATTTAAAACTGTAAGATATAAATTTTTATACTGTATTATATTTATAAAAAAAAGACTAAAAGTGTAGTTATATTAATTATTAAAAAAAGCTAAATGATTATATATATATAATTAAAATAATTTCATCACTTTATAAGGTTATGAGTCATAATTTATGTTGGGGGGGGGGGGGGGGGAAGGAATTAATGCATGTCACAACACAACACGAATAGTTAATAACACACAATTTAGTACCACTAAAAAGTTACCCTCTCAAACAAGGTAATCGATACAGAGATCTTCAACCATTGAGGATAATTGTTATCTGTAAGCATAACTAAAACACGCCTAATATTATTAGATAAGAATGTGAAAGTGAATGAAAAGACAAGAGACGAAATAAGTAAATAAATACTTAAGTCTAAATTATATCAATGAAAAATATTTAAAATAAAAGTATCAAGTAAGAAGACAGACTTAAAATGAAAAAATATAATTAATTTGGTTTAGGGTTACAGTGAATTGAATCATATAACTAAACTTATTCATACGAATTTAATTGATCTGGTTTTGATTATCGAACACATTGGTTCGATTAGATCAAGCAAAGTAATTTTTCAATAAAGTAATCTTAATGATTAGCTTAGGTTATTGTTTGAAAACCAAAATTTGATAAAAAAAATAAAATAAAATCCTGCTTAAGCATACGATAGGTGTTAATATAGATTGTAATAATTTTATCCAACACGGTTATTTGTTTTGAAAAATGTTTTCCAGAAAAAACTTACGAATTATTATTTGACCAATTATACTTAAAAGAATCATACATGGTGGGCAAAAACTAATAAAGTCTAACTCAACTAGTACATAAATTAAAATTTTTAAACATTTAACTGTAGTTTAATTTTTAACAAAAAAAAAAAAATAAAAAAATATATATATATATATATATATATAATATTATTAAAAAGGTAAAAGTAACGTCAATAATCTTTATACTCCAAAGAAATACATTTTCAGCTATTAATTAAGAGGTATAACAAAAAATACGCGGTGGGTGAAGAGGTAAAAGTTGGATTTTGCAAAAATCAATGCACGTTAGTTTTCGTACAATTCGAAACCAGCAGTTCTGACAGATACCGCATGCTGTAGTTTTGTATTTGCTTAAGTAAATTTACTTAAAAAGTAATCTTGATAAAAATTCGCTTAAATAGAAATAAAATTGTTATTTTAAGTGAATTTTGATAAAAAAAAATATATTTTTAAATTCGTTTAAATGAATGTTTTTATTTAAGCAAAATTGACTTAAGAGAATTTTTTGTAACTTAAACTAAAATTACATTTTATTAAAATTTGCTTAAAGGAATGTAAAATTACAGCCTACAGTTTCTGTCAATGCAGGCAATCCGGGTCCATTTCATACCACTTTATCTTAATACAAATGTTATCATACATATTTTGTGGATAAGATTGAATTTGCACCCATATGAGATTTGTTTTGAGTTGCTTGAAGCGAAGTGCAATGAGATTTGTTTTTCAATTAAACCAAGAAAGAGAAAAGCGAATCAGAAAAAGCCATGGGCCACGGCTAGACACACAGGTGAACTTGTGGTTCTGGATTTCAACATTTCTGTCTTTCTTTCAAAGCTGCGAGGAAGTTGCTTTGATGGAGCAGTTGTGCTAGTCACGATGCCTTACGACTTATCAACCACCATTTCAATTAAGTGTTCATTTAATTTATTATGGAAAAAAATAATTTTTATACCTTTCGGAAAAAATATACGGTTTTATAATTAGACTTAATTTTAACACATATTCTAATTATTAAACATTTTAAAATAAACGAGTCTAAAAATAAAAAAAAAAAAGGAACCTTGAGTCAAAATACCCGTGTTTTGTTTCAAGTGCAAGTGCCACGTTTCTGAAGTTGCACAGGTTAATATTTGAAGTGCTAAATATCTGCTTTTACCAACCTGTAGTCGTACTGGGTCAATGTCGTAACTGCACTGCCTACGCCTAGCCACATTTTGATATGCTTTAAAAAATACATTATTTTAAGATAGATATTTTCATTTTTTAATTAAAATGGGTGGCCAAATATCTGGGAGCTATTCTTCTCCTTGGCCCAAGATTAGTTGGGTGGATTGGTATTATGATATTATCATGATTTAAAAAATGCAATTAATTAAGCAATCCTTTTAAAAATTGATTCCCTTTGCATGAGGATGATCCTTTAAACGCACTGTAAGAACAAATCATGGCTGGCGCGGCCGGCAATCACATCAAGTGGGGCAAAGCTTTTTTACATGGGAATTCACCTTTATTGAAATGAGATACAAAAATCTGATAACTATATAATAAAATAAGGAAATTAAATTAGTAGCACAAAAAAAAAGTCGTACTAAGCTAGCAAAGCTATTTTAATAGCCTCAGAAGAGGTTGTGGCTGAGGGAGGCTCTCACATAAAATGAAAATGAGCGTATCAACCAACCATTCGAATTTAGAAGCACGCATGGTTAGAAGGAAGCAACCTAGTCTAATCACATATTTTAAAATGGTGATTTTATTTTAGGGGATGTAAACGAGTGACCCGCAACAGCAAATGTGAAAATGATAAAAGAATTACTCTTGTCTACATAGAAGAAAATAAACAAACAATATAATAAAAGAGAAGATGTGGGTAGTGGGCTGAATGAGTTCTTGTGGTGGAGAATTATTGGGGTGTGTGGGGGTGGTTCCGTGCTTTGTTTCTAATCGATTTTCTTTCCTTTCACCACTGTGCACTGACGGCGATTGAGGATGCATCTTTTGATCCTCTCTCTCTATCTTTGTGGTTTCTTTCGTTTCGTGTCCTTTGATGCATTCTAGAATTGCGCTGACCAATGACCTTGTGGCCCCGAAAACGACAATAGAATTTTTACTTCCTTCTTTTCCCGTAGTCGTAGTACAGTATATATATATATATTATAGAGCCTTTCTTTCTTGCTTTTGCTTTCCTTGTTTTAGACACGTTCAAGCTTCGTGTCTTGTCCTCTGGTTAGGACGAGGTCAATGTCTTATTTCGCATTTGAATAATGGTGTTCCAATCGATCAAGGACTGACCTTTAATTTCTTCTCAAGTTATTGAAAATTGAATGCATTGTCATGACAAAGGGGGTTTAATTCATTCATTAATCTGGTAGAACGACTACGAGATTCCGAGAATCGTGAATTATTAAATTTATGATTGATCAGTGTGCGGTTCTAAATTAGTTATATTAAACAACTAATTTTTTAGCTCATGTGATGTAACTATTCAATACACTAACAAATTTTATTATAGAACACTTATTATGATTAATATATATGAATTCATTTATATAATATATTGTAATGAATAATTAATTTAATAAGCGTGGTAGTTTAAATGTATTACCATACAATTGATTAAATATATAAATCTAACTCAACGTAAACTTTTTTGAAATATATCTAAATCGGTTTAGTTTCAAGAAAAATGGATATTTGCTGACTAATCATTAAATATTGTCCGGTAAAGGAACATTTTAAGATATATTCACGTTTACAAAATGCGATTCCTTCTAAAGTTGTGATTTATTTATCTTTTAAAATTATAAAGGTTCAATTTCTTATACTTTATTAATACACTAGTTAAAAATTGAGGGAGAAAATAATTATTAATACATTTTTATTGTATCTCCCAGTATATTTCTGAAATAATTTATAATATTTTTATTTAATAATCTCTTAACCAATACTTAGAACATTGCTCAGCAATAACCTTTATTTTTCATAATTAACTATGCATTTGAAACCTGATGATAAAACATAAATGTTTATTTACAAATTATTGCGTAAGGCTTGTAGCATGTAAACAATGTGTCCATACACATTGAGTAGTGCATAGGGAATAAAATAGGGATTGTTTCCATCTCCATGAGCTATAGAATATTGGTTACCCCACGATTTAGATTTAAATAATTGACTAGTATAAAATGTAAAGTGTTTCGAACCAG